GAGTTACAGTTATACATGCAATACATAGACATAACAAGTAATGCATAATTAGTGGACAATTTAACAAGAATTAGCTCTTAATATGAATGATTGGTATAATTGAATTCATATCACACACTGACTGGTGTTTATATGAGTTGTGTTTTTTACTTTTGGCTGAATTGACAACTTGATTGCTGTATTCTTTAATATTTATTACATACCCTTTAATGATATTATTTTTATTACAAATAAATATTATGACAATTTATTCAAATAATGTGTAAATAGTGTGTTTGTATAGTCAAACTAAACCTATACTTGAGTGATTACAAAACTAACTTGTGTAATTTGTAAGGAAATTACCTTATTAACACTAACTAAAACATGCTTGATCATTTTACTTGCTAACTTACAAAATTAATTTTAAATGTTATTGATTGCTATTAATAAAATTGCTAAATTAATTATTAATTAACAAGGTTACAAATTAAATTAATATAAATCACACAGTGTTTGCTTCATATGATTGTGCAAACTCTTGCCAGAAACAAGTTGAAAGAAGTTGAGAAATAACCAGATTGTGGTGACCACAATGCAATAGAGCCCACATTTGTAATTGATTCAATGCGCGTACACTCTATTACAAGTGCAATGATAAGCTTCGTATGGCCCCATCAGCTCGGCTTTGGTCGCACTGACTGACGATGTGAAATGACTAGAGCAGAGATTATTCGGGACTAAAATCCACCAAATTCGGTCGGGAACCGGGAGTAAAACAGTCAAATTTGGGAATATTCTGGAATTAACGTTTACTTAATCTTTAGTTCAAGCACAATAATTATAGATTTAAAACATTAAAAAATGAATCACAATAGGTAAAATAACATAGAAATTGAAGTTTTCTTCTTTAAGTCTGTTTTCTATTTTGTAAAAATATTCTTAAATTGAGAGAAAAAATCGTTCAACATCGTCAAACTCACATAGTGCATATTTTTAGACACTTATCTCAAAATTTAGTGGATTTTTATAATGATATTTTTAGTTTTTCTTGAAAAGAGTGTGTTTGAGCCTATTTTCCATAAACTTTCGGGAGTTTTTTTGCTAAAATATGTCAAAATCGAGAATATTCTCAAAACATGCCAAAATCGGGAGTATTCGGGAAAATACAAATGGTTTATTTTTATTCCATTATAACCCCCAAAACTAACTAGATGTTATTCCCGAACATTCTATTAACTAATTTTATTCGGGATTTACCGAAGAATCTCTGCTCTAGAAATAACAGATGTAAAAATGCTTGTATTTTATAAATAAGTATATCAATTCTGTAGAAAGGTATGAATGATAGGAATCAAATTCTGTAAACATTTATAATTCTGGTAAAATTGAATAAAGTTATGTCAATAATAATTTTAGTAACAATTGTACATTTTTGATGGCCAATGACTTAATGATTGCAATGACTTTAATCATATCAAATCATATCCATTATAAATGATGGTTACAGTAGTAGTGGTGTAAATGGTTGGCCACTTCATGACCGCAATGTAATGCCATTTGAAGCTCACATTCAAAGTGAGCGCTTATGCCATGAATGGAGTAGTCGTCCAATGAATGAGTAGTTTTGAGTGACAATGAATGACGTGATGGGAAACACGTGTCGTATAACTCAGGCCTAACTCTACACTCATTTCAATCGAGTTGTGAATTGTGTTGTATTTTAGACACACTTTCACTCATTTTTGCCCTTAATTTACGTCAAAAACAATACAATTAAAGGTAATTATATGTTATGTTTGACCCAATCATACCATTTATACCATTTGTTAGACATTATCTGCGGTTGTCTTAACATTGAATACATTTTGATTCATTGAATGAATTGATTGACTGTTTTGGTTGTGTTTTAGTGGTAAGGGATGGCCGACACTGAAGGCAAAGACAAAGGAAATTTGGACGACTTCTTCGCCAAAAAGGACCAGAAGAAGAACAAGAATAAGAAGAAGTCTGTTCTCACCTCTAATGAAGAGTTGGCCAAAAAGTTAGAGGAGACGGGAAAACGTGGCGCCCGTCGGGTCAAAGACAAGACCAATATGAGTGCTCTCAGTAATAATGGCTCGGATCAGGTCAGTCTTGACACGACTTGTTTGCCATTCATTTCAATTAATTTGATGTGTTTTTGTGGTTCAATAGGAGAGCGAGGAGTGGAACGAAGCGCCCGATGAGAAGGAAAAGGACTATTCGGGTCTTCGGATACAAACGCTTAACATTAAGTGAGCCATTGATTTGTGAAGCGATTGTTTATGACATTAATTGTCTTAACTATAAATAGAGACAAAGAGGAAGAGTTTAGAGAACAACAGCTGTTAGATATAGAGGAGGAAAAGCAGAACAATGTGGTGTCGGGTCCGTGGAAGGGGAAGGTGTCGGGCGGTGACGGGGACTCGGAGTCCGAGAAGGGTGCCAATGATGAGGACAAGCCAGTGGTTCCGCCGCCCACTCCGGCAGCACCGGCGGCGCCGAGCGGTAAATATGTTCCGCCCGGAGCGAGAAATCTGCCGCAAACCACAACCGGCGGCGGTTTGGCCCCAATGCGAAGGGGGCCGAAATCAGGTGCGCCTAAGATTCAAGACATCGTTGAGTTCCCATCGCTCGGTGCTATGGATTCGAGTGAAGACAAAGGCTTTCAAACCGTGAGAACCGGAAACACAAGACCAGAATTGGGTGATAAACGAGCAAATGTTACGTTAGATAATAAATACGGTTTACTTACAAATACGTCTAAAGAGCTTCAAAATACTGATTAAATGTATATTTTATTTAATATAATTTTAGTATAATTTTTTTGCTAATGATATAAAAATATACTTTTCATTAATAATACTTTACAACAATTTAATGTTACATTCAATGCATGGATCAGAAAAAAAATGTTTTCTCAATATTTTGTGGATTTAAGCGAATTTTGTTTAATTTACGATTTGTTTCTAATATTTAAAAAACAATTATTTAGGATTAAAATAACTTTTCTATATTTTATAATGCAATTCATTAATCAATTAAAAA